TTGGAAGAATTCATTTCTGATTCTTTGGCTTTGGTATTTTCCATTTACCAAAATAAATGGCACATACTCCTTTTCAGGTATTAAATACCTACTACCCATCTTGGAAATCCTTTTGAGAAGAGATTTTGGGTATCAGAATGTCATCAAAGAGAAAATGGTACAATTCAATTCTCTACTAAAGTCCTCTGACCTGCTCAGCAGACCTTAGCATAATTCTAAGTTTGGATTCCTTCCCCTTCCTCAGCAATGGGATGTGGGAATAAATATTTCAAGAACAGGTCAATAATTTTGTGAATTCAAAGATCACCCAGCATGATAAAAGTCTAAGTTGAAAAAGAAAGTTGGCTTCGTCCAAGTTGAATTCTAAGAAAAGGATTTTGAAAGCAACTCTTTGGCAACCTTGAGAATGATGTGCCTTGTCATAGGAGAAAGATATTTTTGAGAAGCTCTTTTATATTTATAGTTTCATTTGAACCTACATGGGAAAGGGGAGGATGAATTGCCTAGGTCCTTCTCTGTTCCTGCTCAGCTACTGTGATCATGTATGCTCAACAATCCAGGTTAATTTTGCCCCCAAATTTTCATAGGAACGCTAAAATTATTGTGCTGAAGAATAGTTCTGAAAACGCAGGGTTAAAGAAAGTTTAAAAGGTCTGTTGACTGCAGATCTTCTTAGAGACCTTACTATGTTGATGTACATTAGACCTCTAAGAGGGGTCCACAGGACACAGGTTTCCCAATCAGATTTGACCATGATCCTTGTTTTCTAAGAACTATCTCTTGAAATAAGCATTTGGCACACTCTGCCTTGAGAAATGCTGATCTAGGAGAGCGGGGACGAAGTTTGTCTTATTGACTCTGAATGAACAGAATATACTAATCTCTTGTCATCGGCAAGATGGTAAAAATGAGTGTGGGTGTACAGATGGGGTAGGAAGTTTCTAGAAATCTGTTAGTAAAAACCCTTTTGGCAAGGTGAAGGTCTTATAGTCACTAGGGGTTATAGGGAAAACTAAGAAATGCCATTTATACTTATTATTTAAGATATCAGATTTCCAAACAAACCATATCTGTAGGTGCTCAAAACCTTCTCTGAGACAATGGTAAAATCTGCTCCTTCTATTCCTCAGAGTTTTTATCTGTAAAATGAGGATAGTAATATCCTCCTCATAGGGTGGTTTCAAGGACTAAAAGAGACAATGTATGCAAAATCACTGGCACACGGAGATGGTAGATTTGTTCTTATTATTAAAAGTGTTTTTTGTAAGCGCTTGAGGTGACACCTTCCCTTTGCTGTACAGGTCTTCAAGAAGGTGGTAGGTGGTAGGTAGGTTCACGTCAAGATCATAAGGGGGAACATTTAAAAAATATGCATGCCCGACCCCTACTCAGTCCTAGTGAGCCATAATTTAGTGAGAATGGGGAAGAACGAATGTATGTTTTTAAAAGTTTCTCCCTGTAGTGATGATGGTACATCTTGAACACCAGTAATATATTTGGAGCAAATTCCTAAATTGTGATTCTACATCTCCTGAAGTAGTTCTGGAGTATGTTCCTTGGAATAAAAGGTCTCTGTGGTTAAATGTTTAGAGATGCTACATATTGGTCCCAGTCCCCTCTCCTCCTTGGGGCTTATTAAAGTACCTGAGACGTCTGGCAGTACTATTTGAAATATATGAAAATTTGCAACCTATTTTCTGCTTTTTGATTTTGCAACCTTTTTCCTGCAACTCTCATCAACGTCTGTCCAACACATTTGAGAAATGTTATAGTAAAGAGTTAGAAGAGAATTCTACCTATATTCAGAGATCTTTTTGCGCTGACATAAGGGAGAAGCAAGGTAGCAAAGAGCAGCCTAAATTCCTTCTTATCAGGGAGCTGGCTAAGCCTACTTTTAAATTTTTAAACTTTATTTATTTATTTAAAATATTTTATTTATTTATTTGAGAGAGACAGAGAGAGCAGGAATGGAGAGAGGGAGAAACAGACTCCCTGCTGAACAGCGAGCCTGATGTGGGGCTCGATCCCAGGACCCTGAGATCATGACCTGAGCAGAAGGCAGACGCTTAACCGACTTAGCCACCCAGGTGCCCCTGGCTAAACCTACTTTTATTCTTCCTGCCACATGCTACTTATATGTGGAAAGAATATTGAAAATGATAAATGTGTGCATTCAAGTAAGCATCTCTGGGTAAACTCTGGGTAATAGTCAAAGGGCCAGGGAGATGAGCTACTATGAACCTTAGGAGCTGAGACTTTTCACAAACCTGGCTTTGAATCCTGGTTCCAACACTTTCTGGCTCAGTGATCTTGGACAAGTTACTTAACCTCTCTATGCTTCTTTTCCTTATGTGTATAATGGGGACAATAATAGCCCTGTCTTATTGGGGGTTTGTAAGGATAAATGAGATAATCATGCAAAGCTCTGGGTAAGGACTTCATAAAAGTGCATCATTATTATAACTATTATTATAAAAATGGAAAAACACACTTAAGCAAAGTAAGGGGGAGAATGAAGGAACAGAATAGAGAACACTAAAAACCTTGAAGCTCAAATAAATCTTCTTCCCTTCACAAATGAACATTTTTTTCTTTTTTTTTTTGTAAGTCATTATGCCAAGTAACCTGTGAGATTTCAGGGTTAGAGTTTGAGAGAACTTATTAAATTGGCTGGTCTACTGTACTGGAGTGTGAATGACCCTTTCATCTTGCTCTTCTTTCTAGTCAAATCCCCAACTATCTGACTAATTAACAGACAAGAAACAGTTTGGGAGCTGTTGCTAAAGACCAAAAGAGAAGTGGCTGGTTGAAACTCAACAACGCTGCGCTCTGCCACTGGAGAGAGAGTAAAGAGGATTCAGAACAGTGTTGAGGATGTTGGGGAGGGACTGCTGAGGGGGAGGTTTGTAAGCATTGTAAGAAAATACAAGTTTCAATGCTCCCAGAGTTTGTAAGAAAAAAAAAAAAAGAAAAAGAAGTAGAATAGAAATCTCAGAGCACTTTGCATGTAGCATGGCTGAGGTGACAATCCTGTATCTCACACACACACACATCCACATGTGGATGTGTGTGTGTGTGTGTGTGTGAATCATGTGTATTTCTTATTGTGAATTATGGTTAAAGAAACTTAAAAGCCTCTGATCTAGACGGCAGGCCACAGGGCCCTGAGCCAAGAAATAGATTGTTGTACATCTAGAATGGCTTTGTGAACTTTCCCCCCGATCCTGCCCTGCTTTTTTGTAAACTCTAGGGTGATTTGGTGAATGTGGTAAGGACAAGCAAAGGAGAGAAAACTCAGACACCACACACCAGTGCAGTGACTGACTCAGGTGGAGCCTGGAGACCAATGGAAAGACTGAAGCTGCAAAATAACAAGACAAAGCAGATGGCAGCAAAGTGGTCATGGTGGTTTCCATGCCCAGGGTAGTAAGTACAGCTGAGGTAGCAGTAATAGTCCATTTATTGTCTATGCACCAAAACCCCTATATTTTGTTCCTTACTTTCTTTATCTCCTTTGAATCTCACAGCAGAACCAGGGGAGAACTACGTAGAGATGAGAGAACAGGCTTCTGAGGACTGAGTCAACCATACCAAAGAGATTTTTCAAGAACTATTCATCCGGTGCCTGGAGAGAGGCAAAGTGAGGTATAACAAGTTGTCTTCTCTCAAGAAGTTTCAATCTAGGTAACTGAACTCTAGCTTACAAGAATCTCTGAGGAATGAAGCACTTGCCTTCTTTCCTCTAAATCCCTGACTCATCTAATTTCTCTCCTGCCAAAGGCTGGCAGAGTGAAGAAACTGATAGATTTTTTATTCTTTTCCACGGATGGAAGAAGGAAGGGAAAAATGAAGGGGTGAAATCAGAGGAGGAGATGAACCATGAGAGACTATGGATGCCAGGAAACAAATTGAGGGTTTTAGACGGGAGAGGGGTGGGGGGATGGGGTGGCCCAGTGATGGGTATTAAGGAGGGCACGTACTGCATGGAGCACTGAATGTTATACACAAACAATGAGTCATGGAACACTACATCAAAAACTAATGATGTAATGTATGGTGACTAACTTAATAAAAAATAAAAAAAATAAAAACCAACACCTTCAAGGGGAATTTTAATCGAAAATTTCAAATTTTCACCCCCCGTTTCAATTTATCAACACATATTGCCTCTGAACACCACTGACATTTACTGCCAGCTATTTACTGGTCTCTTACTATGTGTCTACCTTCATGCTAAATAATTCCTATACATGTCCTTTAGTCTTCAGAATCACCCTAATGGAGAAGGTATTATTTTTGTACCCATTTTCCAGATGAGGGAATAAAGATGTGAGAGAGTAGTAACTTGCCTAAGGTAAGAATATTACTAAATGGTGGGGTTGGGCTTTGAGTTCAGTTCTGTCAGCTTCCAGAGCCTGGGCTCTTAACCACCAAACAGTAATGACTTCCCTATGATGTCCACAGTACCATACATGTAAGTGTGGGGGTTAACTAAAACTGTTGATGATCATTCCCTGTTTCTCTAGGAGGGAAGGTAAGATGTACACAAGTGGAAAAACAGTTAACAGTACCTTCCTGTAGCTTATGCTCTCGTCAAAGTAGTACTGGAGAAGATTCAGGGAGAGAGAGGAGCTGGGCAGGATGGGCAGGGACTGCATAAGCACGGAAAAGTGGGTTAGTCCCAAGGGTAACTGAACAGATATTAGATTCCTTGGTTTAGACCAAAGACCACAGTTTCCTTAATAGAGTGGGCTCCCATTTAGGCATTCTGAGGCTTTCAGCAAGTTATTTAACTTTCCTACAGCTGTTTCCCCATCTTTGATAAGGGGATAATACCCATTAGGAGGCTTGCTGGGAAGATTAAGTATACCTAAGTGCTTGGGAAAAGGAGGCATCCCCTACTCTCTCCTCCAGCTACCAGATTAAGTTCAATTTTCCAGTAGAGTTGGCTTGCTTCTGCCCTTTGACCTTACTTTTGAAGATCTTAGAAAGAGCCTTACCTGCTCTGAGAAGCCCTTCACAACACGTCTTTGTTTGAGGTTTGTCTCTCCATCCAGGTTGGCAGTTTCCAGGTGGCAGATCCCGCTGGGGTCTGAGGAGAAGAGGAGGAGTATGTCTGCTGGGATGATCTCGTTGCATTTCATTTGGATGAAGTCTCCCACACGCACATCCTTCCAGCACTTCTGCATGTAGCTCCGCTCTTTTCTTGGGTGGGAGAACAACAGTGAATTTTAAAGTTCTCTAGAAAATTAATAAGTGAATGGAGGAAGGTCCCACCTGTGCCTAAATATCCTCCAAGCAACTTGTCACAAGATTGTTTGGTATTCTACCTTGCCTCGAATGACCACCATCATAACTTTCTGGAAAAGCTTAGCATGGCCTATAGAATCCCACTAGTAGAAGATCTGTCCTCATGATCATTTAGAGTTTTGATTGACTGTTGGCTGTAGACTAGGTACTGTGCTCAGCCTTGCTTCCTAGCAGAAGAAAAAAAATTAAAGAAGAAGGTGACTACATAGTCATATTACTATAGTACTCTTAATATATATCATTTTCCAGAGTAGCCAGTTATCACTGTAGAAGGCAGGGTTGCAAGGAAAGATTGTTTAGGAAAGATTGTTTCTGATTAGGAGAGGACAGTGGCAGTAGGAAAGTGAGGATAAAAACCATTGTGTAGGAAGATCTGGGGTGGTGCTGAAACGGAAAACTCTGGGCAGTCAGGGAATTAGAAAGACAGCACCAGGAAGTCAAACTCAGATATAACAGTGCAGCAATAATCACAAATGTAGCATTTCTACTGTGCCAAGCACTAGGGATAGTTAATACTTTATTTATTTGCATAATAGCCCACTGGAATGGATAATGTTAGACCCAGTTCACAGATGAGGAAATTGAGGGTCCAAGAAAAATTTCCCAGGGTCTTATAAAAACATCTGAAACCTGAGCCCAGAGCCAACTTGACACCCAACCCCACAATTTTCACTGCTTGGAGATCCTACCTTCTCAAAAGTATTCCCCTCTCTCCTCAGGCCGCAGGTGTATGGCAGCCTCAGCTTTTGCACCACCAGCAAAAGGACTCCCTACTACCCAAGTCAAGACGTTCCATTTCAAGGAGCTCTCATCTTAGAAATTCTTCCTTCTACTTAGCCAAATATTGAACTAGTTCTGTTCTCCTGATTTATTCCATCTTCTACCATTTTGTAGATATTTTAAGGCATTCATCAGGTATTCCCAGAAGCCTTTTGGACTTGCCGAGTCAAATTTAACTTTCCAAGTGCCCTTTATTGCTCTTGTATGACAGTTTCAAGACCTGTCCTGAGGTGTGGACTGTTTTGTCTAAGGCTGTATTTGGAAATGTTCCTCTTTAAATATGGGATTTGGAACCAAACCAATATTCTACACATGGTCTTTTCAACTGAGCCCAGCTGGCTTACAGCTGGATGCCTCTGAGCCCAACCAGGCCTAGGGAGGCAGGCTCTCCTTCGCTGTTTTTCTCCACTGGTGCTGAGCCCCTCTGGGCATGTTAATGCTTCTGTTTCTGTTGGAATCTGGGTGCCCTGGCCATGACAAGACTCTCTTTCACAGAAAAAGAGATGTGACTGGAATTTTGCTTTTCTTTTTTGACTTCACAAAAGTCCCTGAGGTGGATGAGGGTTTGAGGTCTTCTTTCCTTCTTTGGTGCCCTCTGGAGAACCCCAAACAAGCCCTCCTAAGACTCTATTGTTCTTGTCATAAAAGATCCATGCAGAGGACTCCCCTAATCCCCTGAAATGAGTGTGCTTTCATCTGGAAGGCCAATCAAGGGAAGGTCTGATCTGAGTCTATAAGATAACCAGGGACATTAGTACTGGGGAGCATCTTGCCATGCTAAAGACCCACACGTTCCTGTGGCTCTAGAAACACAGTAAAGAAGCCACTGGTATAATCAGTCCATGGGCAGTATCATCCAAATGACTAATGAGACCACTTCTGAGGATTTGGGGAGCAATGCATCTGTAGCATTTTAGTAATAGTGCTTCTTTCCATGGAAAGACATTTAACACACTTCTAAACACTTTTTGATTCCATCAGCTTATTTTATCACTTATTTTTCCTGTAAAGAATAGGAACAGTACACCCTGTATTTTTTTCTCAGTGGCATTTTAGAAATATACTTATCTGTTTGTTTATTGATATATTTAGGGTGGCTACTCCTCCATCAGGGATGTGAATATTACTGTCAAATAATTCATTGTCCTTCTGCTGATTCAGGGAAGGATTTGTTTTTTCTTCAGAGTAGCCCTGAGAACACCTGTTAAATGTTCAAGTATAAGGCTACTTAAAGGAACTGGAATGGCCCATACTCTCCGTGGGAGAAGGTATCTCACAGGGTCAAAGAAAGATTGTCCTTCTTATTGCTTTTGTTGTTGTTGTTCTTTTTGAGGGGGTGCTTAAAACAAAACAAAAAAATTCCTAAATATTGCAGCAAGATTGCTCCAAGGAATAAAGGATTATCACTCAACTTGTACACATTCTTCCCCAGCTTTGACTTCTGTGTCCTATCAGATAATGCCTTTGGGGATGGTGGGTATCAGTTGATTCCTATAATCTCAACACTCTGTCTGGTATTTGAAATTGAGTTTAGTGAAAATGCCTTTGACTCTGAGCATTATCCTGATTGCCAATACTTCCAGAGCACACTGGTTCAGAAGATTTGCAAATGCTAGTTGGGATTGCTGCATACATAGGCATATCAGAGGCAAGGCCAACATACCCTTATCCTTGAACACGGAATCTCATTCTTCCCTCTTCTTTTTTTTTTTAATAAAAAGATTTTATTTATTTATTTGACAAAGAGAGAGAGAGCGAGCACAAGCTGGGGGAGCAGCAGAGAGAGAGGGAGAAGCAGGCTCTCCGCTGAACAGGGAACCCGATGTGGGGCTTGGTCCTAGGACCCTGGAATCATGACCTGAGCCGAAGGCAGACGCTTAACTGACTGAGCCACCCAGGCGCCCCTCATTCTTCCTCCTTCTAGTAAAGGACTCCACTGCTTATTATGGGATCTGGGTTATTAAGGTGATGGAAGATGGAAGGTTATGGAGATGAGCTTATGGCATATGCATTTTTATAAGCAGTCACTTCTGTGAGCTGGGCTGGAGTGTTGTCAATTCCCATTGGGATGATACATATAATGAGGTCAGGGAGCCACCCAAGATGCTGTAAGTCAGACCAGTCTCTGATTTCTATTATTCATTAGAGCTTAAGGAAGTCACTGCCTTACTAGTAACAATCACTTCTGTCTTTCCTTTAGGTTAATCCTCTCTTCCTTAGGATGATGTCTGGCAGTAAAGAAAAATTCTTAGTCCCTGTTGTAGGCATACCCTCAAGAAAGAGACTGCCCATCTTTGTGAGTGTGCACCTCAAACAGAGGCACATATGCCTTGAGGCACACAGCCTATTACATGTGTCTGGGATAATGAAGCTACGGAATCAACATGATTTTGGGATGGTTTTAAAAACCGTGTGTGTGTGTGTGTGTGTGTTTGTGTGTAGAGATATGGTTTAGTAATTTAGCTGGTACATGATTTGATGAATTATATTTATATTATCCCAAACATAGTTATGTTATAGAATCAGAGTCAAATTTTAAAGGAATTTTGGGGGCTAAAAAATGAGACATCAGGGTAAAAAATGAGACATTTCATTCTTTGACTTGGCCACTTAGCACTGGTCTCTTGGTCCTCTGGGTCCATTTTGTCTCCCCAACCATAAGGAGTATGAGTATGTCTGTGGAAAAGGCAAGGATGCACAGCCCAAGGGGGTCCAGCCAGAGGAAGTGATGAGTGGCTGAACCCAGTTGACGTGGAAAAGCAGCGTGCCCCTGCATTGAGTGACACCCAGATGTGGCCAGCAGCTGGCTGGGTGCCACCTGAGGAAGTCATTTGGAACAGCTGCCTCAGGTGGATGAGTCCATACGCTCTTGATCACCTCCCTGCTCAGTGAGTCACACCTGGGAACCAACTGCTATTTTAGTTTCATGGGATGGTTACTGCTGTTTAAAAATAAGACAAATCAACATGGCTTGGGATGAAGACTCCATCTGGCAGATTCTGCTTCAAGGAGAAATTAAGTGGTGCCGTGCTAAATGGCTTTCTGAGAGGAGACAGGGCTTATTAAGAGGGAAATAAAAAGCAAGAGAGGTTTGTGGCCAACTGGATGCCATGGGGAAGCAGGTGAAAGGAGGGGAATGGGGGAGGAGAGGATGCTTAAGGCTCCATTTCTCAAGTGTGTGGGTTTTACAAAAAGAGTTTCAAGGAACTAGAGTAGAGAGGATTTATCAGGAGGTTTAGTTGTCTGTGGGACTTCTTATTCAAAACAGGATGATGAGCTTCCTTCTAGAAGCTTGAATGCCAGACATAGAATGGTCAGCATTACTACCCCAGGGTGAAAGAGGAATGCCAGGGAGAATGAATGTAGTGTAGGGGTTAAGAGTGGGTTTGAACTCCAGCTTCACAGCTTATTACTCATGTGACCCTGGGCAAGTTATTTAACCTCGTGGAGCCTTTGTTTTTTCAGTTGACAGTAATGTGTGCGCTTGCCTCAGAGGGTTGTTGAAAGGATTGGTGACATGACCCATGAAAGGGACTGAGCTCAGGGCTTTGCACTTGGTAAGTACTCAATAAATACAAGCTTCTTTGATGATGATGATGATGACGACGGCGACGACATGATTATTAATATCATGGTGAGTGCTAACCTCCTGCTCTGCCAGCCCTAGCACTCTCTCCTTCATGCAGTTGGGACACCCATTTTATGCCCATGATTGCCTTTTATGGTGTGGGCCCAGCTATACAATATACAAACACAGGAAACTCTAAAAATTGAATCCTTTCCCCAAGTTCAGAAAAGAGGGACTCCATCCAGCTGATTGAAGACTTAGGGCTCTGGCTACTGGCACAAACTCCCAGAAAAGCATATCCTTAAAATCAGTGCTGCCCAGCAAGTTCATTTGCAGATGTTGACACACTGATTCTAAAGTTGATATAAAGAAGCAAAAGACCCAGAATAGCCAACACTATTAAAGGAGAACAAAATTGGAGGACTATTGCTACCTGACTTCAGGACTTCAAACGGCAGTAATCAAGACAGTGTGGTATTGGTGAAAGAAAAGATAAACAGATCAATGGAACAGAAGAGAGAACTCAGAAATAGACATATATATAATC